CCGGGGCTATAACCAGGTTGATGGACCACTGGCAGTTCACCTAGGGGAGTTGGCCAAAAACCCTAATTCCAAACCAAACATGAGGAGGCGTACGAACCACATGCATACCTTTTCGGCTGTGGCAGTGTTCACCTGCTCGATTGGGCATTGAGGTGTTAAGCACCTTGGACGTCTGACCCCGTCCGAAGGGCGTATGATGCGATGAACTGGACACCGGCTTCCAATGGATTGCGATTTTCGTACACCGCCCTGCTGCCTTCCGGGTCAGGCTTTGGCTAGCCAAAGGCTCCGGTTGTGGATTCCTCAAGAAAATTCACCTGCCTTGGCATGGGCCACCTGGCAGTACTCAGCCCACAAACCAATCATGGAACATTTTCTTTTTCATAAAGATTATTGTATCATGATTTGTTTGGCACACTGTCTGTCTTCACACAAGTGTGAAATATAATATAATATAATAATGTTAGGGGTAGCTAAGACCAATTGTGTTTCCTACTGGCTGAGGGAGGACTTAACTAATATTAGTACACCACCGCCCTGCTGCCTTCCGGATCAGGCTTTGGCTAGCCAAAGGCTCCGGTTGTGGATTCCTCAAGAAAATTCACCTGCCTTGGCCTGGGTAACCTGGCAGTATTTAGCTCACAAGCCAATCATGGAACGTTTTTCTTTTTCATAAAGATTATTGTATCATGATTTGCTTGGCACATAGTCTGTCTTCACACAAGTGTGAAATATAATAATNGACCAGTTGGGGTTGAAAAGAAGAACTAGATAGATGGGAAAGAGGTTTTTTCAAATGGGTGCACGACATACATCGCGGCAGCCCACATCGACGAAGGAATATTTTTGGGGAACCCTAACCGGAGCCTTTGGCTCAGGTTTGACCCACAAGATAACGGGAGTGACCGAAGTACCCGTGTTGGTGTCTCTAGAAACCTGTCACGCAAGGTCTTCGGGTTTCGGTTCAGTGTGTTACTCACTGATGCCTTAAATGTCGTTCCGCTTTTCGGGATCGGCCTTTAGCATCATGCACCCAATGAGACACGCGGAACGTGGACGGGACAGCACCTTATTGGTCGGGGGCTGCCCAGCTTTGGCGGGTGGGAGCTCTTCAATAAAGTGCGAAGACTTCTCCCACTGTCGAGAGGAAGCCCCAGGCACCCCGCCCCTACGTCTATCTAGCGGGGTTTTTTGGTCGGTAAACTGCCCCGCACCGTGTTTATTTGCTAGAGTAGCCCCTCCTGAAGAGGATAGTCAAGGGAAGCCAGGCGGTGCCCGGGCAGATGGTTTCGTGAGACTGAGCACGGTCTAGCCTCTACACGTTGACCTTTCAGGCATGGTTGGATCTAGGGCTGTGGAAAGCCATCCTGTGTAGCTCGCAGGGTCATGAAGGCACGCAAGCCATCACACCGCGTCAACGTGCAGTCTCGCCGTGATGGAGACCCTACTACCCCCCTCTATGCAACGAAAAATTCTCACGCTGCTCAAAAATAATGCACTCTGGATGAAAACCGAGTGGACCAAGGAACTCTAACGGGTGATCGAAGAACGCGTACACTTGGGACAGTACACAACTAGGGAGGACGGGCCTTTTAAAGCACCGGATGGACACTGGGAACAACGCACCTATTAGGAGATTCCCCAGACACCCTCCGGAATTTCTCTCGAATGAACAGGCGGAAAATATCAAAAACATGGAAAACAGCGATTTTATCTGTTACTCATTCTCCCCACCTATAGGACTAGTGAGGGAGATTGATGGTTGTGTAGGGTCTTTGACGTGCTGTGATAGCTCATGTTGATGCAACCAGGTCAAGAGTTCTACACCAGCAGTGCCCCTCGGGGCACTTTCGTTGCCCCAATCTATTTCTGGAAGATTGACGTCGCTCATTATGAGGAATTGCGACGATTCCCTCAATATGTCACCTAGGAGTGCCACTAATGCAGAATCCTCGACCCCATTAGATTGCGGCGCCCTGTAAACACACAGCACTCCCACCGGTCGACACCTTAGTCGAACATAACAGGACGTGACTTGTATGCTCCGTGTGGCTAAGGTAATCGGGACCTCTTAACGACAGTATTCTGCGCTTACGAGTAGTAGTACCCCACCACCGAGCCCTTTCTGTCCTGCCTATACCTTTCCAACAGTGGTAAAAGTTACCAGATCTGTTAATGATGTTATCTGGAAGCATTTAGATGAAGTCCAATATGGAATGTGCTTGGGTTTCTCTATACAAATATTTACAAACGATATTGGTACTTATTTCCATCATGTTATCCAGTTGTATTCCTGTTAAAACATTTACTGATCACATGATTTTTTGTTTAGTCTAAATTAATTAAATCTTTATACACCTTTATACGTTCGAAATTTGACCTCGCTATCGGTTTGTGTAATTTTTGAAGTTTTATATTCAGTCGGCTCCAGTTATTTTGTTTCAACCTATAAAAAACTTTTATTACATCCTCCAATTTTTTAATGGCTGATAAAACCTCCCTCGCATCCTCCGACGAGGACAGCTACCCCATGAGGTTAGATGAGCCCGTGACAAACCCGGATAAAACATTTTCGCTAACCGAACTGTTAGGTATCATACACGAACAGACCATAGAACTCGAGAAGCTGAAGTAAATGCTCTCGGTGACCAGGTTGTTAAACTCAACGCCCTCATGCTGAACTCTCCGGTTCACTCGGCGGCGGGCCAAGCAATCGAAGTCTCCAAACAGCAAATACTTGATACAGCAAGAATGCTACACACAGGGTTATATTCTGGGGACATTTCCCGAACTCCTTAACCCCTCAGGAAATGTCAAAGTTACTCTTTAAACATCTGGATACAACGGTTTTCAAGCCCGGAAAATACTCGTGGTTTATTCCGAAGAAATCCAAAACTCCCCATGACCTCGTGGAAGATATCTGCTCCACTTTTACAGCCCGTAATCTTATCACATTTGCTCCATCCCTTGAAAGATCCTGCAGATGACTCAAAGGGGTATTGGTTAATGAACCACTGCACCTTAGACTCCCCGTTGCAAAGCAGGACGCCTTCTCCTACCGCTCGAAAGACTCCAATCTGCGAAGCGCTTTCGTCCCGGCTATACGTCTGGAAACTGACGTAACCCACTTACAGCCCATCTCGCCCAAAGCTTTCTCCTTGAATTAGATAATTGTCTGCCTCAAGCCAGTAGCTTGCAGCTCGGCAAACACGAGTCTATATTCTGCGCACGCAGAGATCAATCCCAGAGAACAGACGTCGGTGGGTATGGTCCCCGAAACTACTAACCAGAACAAAGCAAAACCGGCCCAGAACGATCAACGCCCCTCCCCCCGAAGCAAAAAAGGGCTACTTGGTGAGCCTCTCATCCTGGAAAGGAACATAGTCACGGGGAACAAATCACCTCAGCTACCTGGTGCCACTGCCCAGAAACTCAAGACTGCCGTTCCAACTCTCCCGAAGGCTACCAAGTTCGCTAAAGCTCTTCCCCTCCTCCTAACTTCCGTATTCACTCGCAATAGGAAACCAACTTTTCGGGTGGGGGCTCCGGAGCACCCAACTTTGGTATCATAAGCGCTGTAGTAAGTTGACGAAGTACTACGACACACGATACATAGATCCCTGAGATGGGTCTGTGTCCACTGTATAGCGTTGATAGGGGAATGCTCACGCATCCCCAAAGACAAAGCGGTGGGCAACACCGGCCAGTCGGATCAACCTAAGGAGACGAAACCCAGGGTGCCCAAAAGTAAGAAAGCAAGCCGTAAGGAAAACAGAGGACCAGATGCCAACACGAAAGGAAAAACTGCCGAAGTAGCTCCAGAGATGGACGGAGAGAGTACAGCAAATATAAAGGTCACGTTGGAACGGCTTGAAAAAGAGCTGAAACTCCTGAAAGAAACTAATCAATTAATCCCAGAGAGGGCTATGAACATACTTTTAAATGGCTGCGTTGAGCCCGTGATTAGAGACACCAAGTCTCGGCACGAAGCGGACCGGAAGCATGTGCAGACCGTGCTTAGGCTAGGGGGGATGCCTCTCATGACGGGAACTATAGTGTGACCGTCTATTGTCCAGAACAGCGGCAACAGAAAACATCACCAGGGGCGGCATAATTGTCACCCCAGATAATGGTACGGTGGTCCGTAGAACCGACTGTCCACCCATCAGTGGACAGGAACTAGGGCCGATAAAGAATGCAGTAGTAAAGCTACGAAGGGTAGGAGCGCCCGAAGAACCTAAATCGGTGACTAACTCAAAGAAGACCCAAGGTCAGGTGTGCATACCAAAAGACACACACGGACCGAAGGGTTTACCTTTGAGCAAATCAACGCTAAAGCCTAAAGGGACTCGGTTGCGAGAGTTGGGGGGAAGCGAAACGAAAGCGGTTGGTGCGAAGAAAACAACCACCCGTGGCTGCTGCAAAACTAAAAATTGTAGCACAGAAATCCGTTTCTTCAGAGAAAGATAATCTCGGGAACGGAACCCCCTCGCACGAAAGGTTGTCGGAGGACCGCAGCTGGACAATAGTGTATACACCGAAACGCCGGCCAGGATTGAGCACAAATACCAGTCCCGGACGCGAGGACCTAGAGTTCCTCAAAGAAAGTCACGTCGCAGACATCCAAGTCAGCCGACTGGGTAGATCTAAAGGCAGCATATCTTGGATAGCGGAGACTGCCTCCAGCTGTTACACAACAGCAAAAAACTGGGTTATCCCTCGGGTATTACGCCCGAGGACTCCGAGAGTATAAAAGGGTCGCAGTCGGAACAGCTACAAGCAGACAGTATTGCAGTCTGGTATACTAACACTTGTAGCATCCGAGGAAAATGGGGCGAGATTGCAGCACGCTCCCAAGGATCCGAAATCGTCATTATTACGGAATCCTGGTTGCAGGAATTGCAAGTTATTGCCGGCCTAGGGAGCTACACTAGTTACCGACAGGATAGACTGGACAGCCTCTCTCTCCATTTTTATTTGACTTTGTTATAGATCTGATTATGGAAACAGCCCTGTCCTCGTGCGAGGATAGTGGCATCGATTTACTCCCAGGTGGCAGGCTGTCTGATCTAGACTACGCAGATGACATTGTGCTACTAAGTGAAGATCCAGACAAGTTGCAGACATTTCTGGATAACTTGAATACCAATGTAGCCATATCCGGTATGCGTTTTGCACCTTCAAAGTGTAAAATGTTACTACAAGACTGGGTCGGTCCAGCACCGAGCCTCATTCTACCTGGAGAAGTAATAGTGCAAGTGGATAAGTTTTGTTATTTAGGCAGCTACATCTCACCCAGTGGACGCATCACGGATGAAGCGTTTGCTCGCATACAGAGGCAGCTATATCTCACCCGGCGGACGCATCACAGATGAACTGTCGGCGCGCATACAAAAAACTCGGTTGGCATTTGCTAACTTGAGACATCTGTGGCACCGTCGCGACATCCGGCTGTCTGCGAAGGGTCGTGTGTATGCTGCAGCAGTTCGACCAGTTCTGCTATACGATGCAAAAAGTTGGCCATTAAGAAAACAGGATAAAGACAAACTGTCGGTGTTTGAACACCACTGTCTACGCAGCATTAAACGAATCTGGTGGGGTAGCCAGATGAGCAATGCTGAGGTTAGGCGCAGAGTGTTGGGTGCCACGGTCGCTCACTGGAGCAAGTGGTCGACCTCCATAGATTGCGTTGGTTGGGACATGTGTTACACATGTCACCAGATGGGTTACCACGGTGAGCAATGTTCGCCGAAGCAGACACCGAGTGGATAAAAGCCAAGGGTGGTCAAGCTAAGACCCCGAGGGTATGAAAACCCTAACCAGGAGACTGGGTCACATAGGTCCCGTTAGGCTCCCTGGATTGGGACCTCGGGATGATCTTACCCGATGATTAGAGACACTGAGTGATATGGCTGGGTGTTGCAAACAGTGGCGTTCGTGCATCTTCTCAATTTATTTGCAACCTTAGACCACTGAACCTCTCCGTTTTCTATTCGATTCCACTTTTAACTTTCCTTCTAATCTTCATCCAAATGGGCAGCCAAAAGACAGCAACCGAAACCGGCGCATGAAGTGCATCGTAATGGTTGCTCAAACTGAAACTGATATGACCAGGCGTCTCAAGTAGCCTCTAATGAGGAAGCCTTACTCATTACTCTCTGGTGGCGGAGGTATTTTCCCACCTAAATGTTAGGTCGTAAAGCCAACATCCCGATAAGTAGACTATTGTCAGTTCACATCGGGAGTTGGGTGAAATCCCTTATTCCAATCTCGCCAAGAAGAGGCGTACGAGCCACACACAAACACAGACCTTCTTGGTTGTGGCATTGGTTACCGGATCAATTGAATATCGAGTTGTATTGGGCACATTGCACACTTGATTCCGTCCAAAGTGTGTATGGTCCGATGTACTTGATACCGGCCCCCAGTAGACTGCGGTTTTCACACACTACCTTTTGGGTAAGATTTTGTCTAGCCGAAGGCTCTGTTTGTGAATTCCCCAAGAAAATTTACCTGCATTGAGCTAGACAACCTGGCAGTATCGCACCCACAAATAAAGCACATAACTTTTTATTTTTATAAAAATCATTTAACGGTGACTTGTTTGGCGCACTGTCTGGGTGCGGACGTGTATGAAATACCGTACCTATCGCGGATATCCAGATGGAATCCATTGCTCATGGTCTATATATGTAATACGATCTTCTCAAAGCCATCTCATCATTTTTCAGCCATACTATACGATGGGTCCAAGACGGGAAACTGAGGAGGTTTGTCCTATTTATTTATTTACGATTTTTAGCCCGAGGATGAGTCCGTTTATGTCAACCTGAGCGACTTACCGTATGATTTGATGCGGTTTAATATCTCCGCGAAATCTGGCTCCGAACGTCGCGAAGCTCGGAAAGCGCTTCTATTGAAGATGGGTGCTGCACCACCGAAGAAACAGTACATTAACTACAAAACACTGATGCGTTCTCGCAAAGAAGCCAAAATGCAGGCCTCATTGTTACCACCCGAAGTAGCATCCTTTTGGTGTTCAACTTACACAGACCATTCAGACAGCTACTACAATGGTGAACAAACGTGTGCCTCTTAGTCAAATTAAGAAGAACAAAGGTTCAAAGAAAACAAAGTTTGTATTCGACTTTTCTTTTAACTGGTTTTCGTCTTTCACTTCAGAAAGAAGACTCTTCATGGGGGAAGCAGTTCAAAACGCTGGAGGAAAGCTAAAAAGAAATCGCGAAAATCTTAATACCTTTTTCACATGTATATATTTCTTCTAAATACACAATTAAGAGAAGCGCACTTGTCGTTCAAAACTCCAATAGCCATCTTTATTTGGTCTCCGGTGAACGAAACAAACTATAGCAATTTGTATTCGACTGCTCCCAAAGTGCCACACTCACATCCTTCACGTGAATGTGGGATTCTGACTAAATTTCACTGTAACTCTCCGGAAGCCGACACGTTCATCGAGGTACATATATATATATATATATATATATATATATATATATATATATATATATATATATAT